CAGCCAGCCGGGGGCTGCGCCCTGCTCCTGTGCAACCCGGCTATTCAGGGAAAGCTGCCTGCCTGCAGTGGAGTGAAGCAGAAGAAGACTGATGGGTGGAGCTGGGCTGCAGCAGCAACATGCAGCAACGGCGCCGGCACCGGCAGCTGCTCACGTTGCCTAAGTGCTGGACCGGGGAGGGCGGTGGCCGGCCCTGTCGGTGACAAGAGTGCTAAATGATTTGTGAGCATGATTGTAACCACTAGCTTGAGGAGAGCATTCTGCAGAGGGGGTAGTCAAGAGTCTGTGGGCGCCAGCTGCAGGGCGCCATTCAAAAATGCCAAGCTGCAGGGAGGCGTTTCCCGGTCCGCCCGTGCGTCCAAACCTTTTCTAACACCATTGGAATGCGATCAAGGCACGTGTCCCGCGAGTGAAGTTGGTTTTCAGGCGGTTTTGCGCCCACTGACAGGTGGTGGGAGCTCGCTGCACACTTGTAGGGCGTGTTGGCCCGCTTTTCAAGAGCCCAATGAGTGTACAAAAATGGGTGAATCGAGCGGCTGGCGGGCATGCACGCATGAGGGCGTCCAGGCCCTAAGGTGGGCAAGGGTGCACGTGGCAGAGGTGCGGCCCATCCTTGACAGGCTGGCGGCGCCAGGCTCCTGAAATGTGCCCTGCCGAGCCACCACAATCTGGGGGAGTACACAGCACCCGAATCCTGGTGGGAGGGCGCCCGTTCACATAGAATGTTGTAAATGCCTGCGGCTCTCCTCCGCCGCTTCACTGGAGTCTCGGAGGAGCTGGCGGTGGGCAGCCAGCGCGTATATGGGCGCGCCGACACCGGCAAGCCCGCCAGCGAGCAGCCACCGACGTGCTCAAGGTGCTGCCGGGCGACCCGCCTGCCGCCAGTCCTCCACCTGCCGCTGCTCAACCTGCCCGCCTCTTGCCTCCTGCAGGCAGCAGTTCAGGCTCGACTGCCGCCCCGAGGGCGTACACGTCACCAGCCTGAGCCCGGTCAACCCCACCAAAGTGGTGTTTGCGGGCGGCAGCGGCGGCAGCGTGCTCCTCAACGCCGGTAAGGCCGCCGCCGCTGTGTGCGTGCTCCTCGTCATCATCCGCCTAGCCTGTAATGTTTTGTGCCTTCCCACCTTGCCGCAGGTGATTCGTGGGTGCTGGCCCCAGGCGACCGCGTGCTGCTGCTCGCGTTTGACCCCTCGATGTTTGTCAAACTGGAGTCCGGCCCTGGGGCAGCGGCAGCCCAGCGCCCGGCGGCGGCCGCACCTGGAGGCAACCGAGAGGCCGGCCCGGGTGCGGCAGCAGAAACCAGCGGTACTCCGCCACCTGCGGCGGCGGCTGCGCACGCGCAGCCTGGGGCAGGCCCTTCCGGCGGCGGGGCTGGCGATGGGGCTGGCGGCAGCAGAGGCGGCGGCGAGGCGCCGCCCAGCAAGCGGGCACGCGTGGAGGGCGGGCAGGCAGGCGGCCAGCTGCAGCGGCAGCAGCACCAGCCGGCAGCAGCTGCTGCCGCGGCGGCGGCGCCCGTGGTGCTTGTGATGGTGGGGCTGCAGGGCGCGGGGAAGAGCACCTTCTGCCACAGCCTGATCCAGAGGGCGCAGCAGGCCGGCCAGCAGCAGCAGCAGCAGCAGCAGCAGCCTGGGGAGCAGCCGCAGCAGCAGGCAGCGCCGCGGCGCTGGGTGCGCATCAACCAGGACAGCATCGCAGGTGGGCTCTACACGCCGACCCGCCCACTCGCCTGCCTGCCCGCCCGCCTGTCTGCCCCCCTGCCTGGCTTGTCCGCCTGCCTGCCTGCCCGCCCGCCTGCCTGCCTGGCTGCATCGCACTCTGCTCCAACAGCCCGCTGTCTACCCCACACACCCACACCTACACACGCACACACACACACACACGCTCTGGTGTGCCGCTGCCGCCACAGGCGGCCGCCGCGGCACGCGGGAGCAGTGCCTGGAGGCGGCGGCGCGGGCGCTGGCGGGCGGCGCCAGCGTGGTGGTCGACCGCACGGGCGTCACCCAGGACCAGCGCCGGCCCTTTGTGCGCCTGGCGCAGCAGCACGGCGTGCAGGTGGGCGGGTGGAGGGTGGCTGAGGGCAAGAGGGTGGCTGGGCGGTTGGGTGGGTGGGAGGGGCGGGGCCTGCAGCGGGTGCACCGAGCCACGGGCGGCAGCCCAGGGCACCAGAAATGCCTGCTGCGAGCGCTGTGCCCCGCTGCGCTGCCCACGGAGCCCAACGCTGTCCAGACTTGCCGCCGCTCGCGCGCCCGCGGGCCCACCGCCGCCGCCGCCAGCAGGCGCACTGCCTGATGCTGAAGCTGCCGGTGAAGCTGTGCCAGAGCCGGGCGGCGGCACGCAACGACCACGAGGGCGCGCTGCAGGGACAGGCGGCCTACCCGGCAGGTGCGCACCCGCTGGCTTGTGCCGAGGATTGGTGTACACACACAGGCCGGCCCCGTCCTGCTTTCTCCGTCTCTTGTGTGCATGCCGCGCCCCGTCCAGCCGCCGGCCGTCCAGCCGTCGGCTTGCCCGCTGCCCGAGGTGCCGGCCTGCTGGCGCCGCCTTGCGACGACGACGACGCCGCTCCTGCGCCCTGCAGTGGCCCGCATGCAGCGGCAGCTGGAGGAGGGTGGGGACCCGCAGGCGCGGGAGGGCTTTGCCAGCGTGCTGGTGAGCAGTACCAGTGTGCGATTGGCCCCAGCTGCTGCCTCTACGCGCTCTCCACCGGTCCAGTGTGCTGCTGCAGTGTGCTGCTTCTTCCGCCACCACAGCCGCCACGCTGACCATGGCCTGGTCCTGCCTGCCTGCCTGCCTGCTGCTGTCGCTGCTGCCTCCTGGCCCCTGGCTGTGCAGATCTGCGAGAGCGACGGCGAAGCGGCGGCGGCGCTGGAGGCGTGGTCGCTCTACGGGCCCAGCCACCCTGACCCTGCGGCCGAGTATGCCAGGCTCAGGCCACCGCCGCCCAAGGCCGCTGCGCTCAACACCATAGATCGGTTCTTCAAGAAGGTGTTGAAGCCGGCGCCTGCTGAGCAGGCTGCGCAGGCGGGGGAGGGGGGACAGCCTGCGGCAGCCGGGGCGCAGGGGAACGCAGGCGAGGCGCATGCGCATGCACCGCAGCAGAAGCAGAAGGAGCCAACAGCGTCCCCCAGCAGCACAGGACACCCTCGGCAGCAGCAGCAGCAGCATCAGGGCGGCAGCGGCGGCGGCGATGCGTTCCAGGCGCTGATGGCAGCAGCGCGGCCGCAGCCGCGGCCAGGCGCTGCTGCGGGCCCCGCCTCTCCTGCATCTGGCGGCGCCGGACCCAGCGGCGGCAAATCCAAGCACGGATTTGACGGCCAGGCCTCTTGGGCCAGCAGCCTGGCCACCATTGCCGCCAAACCGGAGAGGTGGGTGGGCGCCATGGCAGGCGGCGCCATGGCAGGCGGATTGTGGCAGGGCAGGGCACATAGAGGCCAGGGGCGCTGCGCTGCTGTTGCTGCCTGCTGGTGATGGCCTGCCCGCCTGGCCTTCCTGCCTGCCTGCCTGCAGCTGCCGGGCCGTCCAACCAGACCTGCAATACGATGATCTTACGGTGTGGATAGCAGATAAATTTCCAAAGGCAAGCTCATCGCTGCTGCTGCTGCACCTGCTTCCGCCCCCATTTCGCCCGCCGCCGCTGCCGCCGCTGCACCTGCTTCCGCCCCCATTTCGCCCGCCGCCGCTGCCGCCGCTGCACCTAATGCTCACCGGCCACGCTTAGCCCAGACCCGCAGCCCGTGCCTGCCTGCCTGCCCTGTCACGGCTGCAGGCGCGGCAGCACTGGCTGGTGGTGGCGCGGGAGCGGCGGCTGGAGGGCCCCCTGGACCTCACAGCAGCAGATGTGCCGCTGCTGGAGCACATGATTGTGAGCAATCTGGGCCCGTGAGGGGGCATGGCAGTGGGGAGTGGGGGCACACGGAGCAGGGCAGCGGCTCGGCGGCAGCCGTGGCGTCCCAGGCGCCTGGCTGGACAGGAGGCTTCTCGCCCGCTGTCACTGCTGCCGCTCCGCCCTCCCACCTGCCTCCCCGGTCGCTCCCTCTCCTGCTCACCCCCGCGCAGGTGGTGGCGCGGCGGCAGGTGGGCCAGATGCAGCGGCGCAGCCCCGGCCTGCGCTTCCGCGCCGGCTTCCACGCCGTACCTTCCGTCAGGCAGCTGCACATGCACGTGGTCAGCCAGGACTTTGACTCGGCCTGGCTGAAGAACAAGAAGCACTGGTGCGGCGGCGCTGGCGCTGCTGCGCTGCCAGCTCTGGTGCTGCGGCGCTGCCAGCGCGGCGGGGCGTGTGCAATTGTGTGTGTGTGTGTGCAAGTGTGTGTCTGTCGGAGGTGGTGTCTGTGTGTGTCTGTGAGAGGGAGGAGGCTCCGCTGCGCTGCATGCTCCGTCTGGCCGGTGCCACGCGCCTGATTGCAAAATGCAGATCGGTCCACCTGTCTGCCTGCCTGATCTCGCCCCCGCCTGCTGCAGGAACTCCTTCACCTCCCCTTCTTTCTTCCTGGACGCCGCCTGGGTGGTGGAGCAGCTGCGCCAGCATGGCGCCCTGCGGTACAGCCTGCAGGAGAAGGAGGCGCTGCTGAGGGGCGCGCAGCGGTGCCACCGGTGCGGCGCGGCGCAGGCCAACATGCCGAGCCTGAAGCGGCACATCGCCGAGTGCGGCGCCGAGGTGGCAGGCCCACACCTGTACTGAGAGGGGGGGTGTCAGTAGTGCAGAGGGCAGCGGTGGCGTTGCGGGGTGGACGAGGACTCCGGAGGACTTCGGAGGAGGAACAGGCGCCCACCCGCCCGCCCAGCTCCCCGGGTGTTTGTACATTGTGATTTTACATTGTTTTGAACATCGTTTCATGCTGTGAGAGGGCGAGTGGATGCAAGGCGCCGTTGCCGCCGCCGCCCAGATCGACACCCATCTGGGCGCATGCATGGTTTGACAGGGGCGCCGCCCCCTCCTGTCAAGGCACTGGCGCATGGCGGCGCATCTAAACCCGGTGTGGTGCTCACCTAACCAGAGGAAAGGCAGAGGAAGGTCTCCAGTAGATGGGGAGGCCTCCTCACAGCCACAGGCTTGCAGCTGCCCAGCAGCTTCCAGCGCCACGCTGGAGGTTTCTTATTTCCTACAAAACCCGGTATAACTCGTTAATTCCGACACACGCATCCCTGAACTTTCCTTGCCTGTTCTCTCCGATACCCCACACACAAGCATGTCGCGCCTCCAAGCCCTGCTGGGCCCGGCAGCCCTGCTGCTGGCCCTGCTCCTGCCGCTGGCCAGCTGCAGACCTGCCCCACAGCCAACGAGTGAGTTTCGCCGCCGCCGACACAAACTCCTCCCTCTTGTGCATGCCCCAGTCGCGCATGCCACGCTCTAGACGCTTCCGCCCCTGCTGCCAAGCTCTCCCTGCCGCTTGCAAGCTACATCAATCTCGGCCGCTCGCCGCCGCCCGGGTCCAGCCCGGTACTACGCTTCCCCCGCCGCCATGCACGACGCCTCACGCCCGCTGCTGCCGCCGCCGCCGCCTGTCGCGCAGCCGTCTCTGGGCGGGCGATCATGGACATGGGCACGTTGGACCCGGTGTGGTTCAACTACACCAACGAGCCCAACACTTTCTACCTGGGCCCCTCCCTGCTGGGCACCAGTGCCGCCGACTCCGACACCGCCTGCGCCCACCGCTGCAACGACGATGCGGCGTGCACGTGGTGGGCCTTCTGCCCCGTGCTGGAGGGGTGAGCGGCGCCCGCAAGCCTTCACGCCACCACAGCAGCAGCAGCACCCCTGCTGCTGCCCTGCCCCGGCATCCTGCGCTTGCCATGGCGCGGCCGTGCGCAGCACAGTTAGCCACCCCTGCGGCAGCCAACCCGCGGCTCACCCGTGGCGATTTATGCCCTTTCCCTGCAGGTGCGACATCCTCACCTACTGCAATACCACCGACGATGCCGCCTCCCAGCTGCTGCCCGGCGGAACGTGCCTGCTGTCGGGCGAGAGCCGGTCGGACCGTACCGCCACCAACTTCATGAGCCAGGGCGGTACTGCCTGGTCCAGCGGCTACTACCAGCCCACAAACACCCCCTCCTCCGACGGAACCGTCACCCAGTTCTCCTCGCTGGCAGGTGCGCGTTGCAGCCGCAGCGCCGGCGCCGCCGCTGATGGCGCGGCGCCGCAGGCAGCGAGCCCGTCCCGCAGCCCCAGGCCCAGCAGCACTGCACCAGTGTGCGGTCAGCCCTCTCACCCCGCTCGCCGCCTCCCATCTGCCGTCGCAGGCCTGGGCCGCAGGCTGGCGGCGCAGGAGGGCGAGCAGCGGCGGCGGGTGGCGCAGGAGGGCGGCGCCGCGCATTCCACAGACCCCACCCACCCCATCTGGCAGCGCTTCACCTACCTGCCAGGCGCCTACTCCCGCGGCCCCTCCATGCTGCCCGCCACCCAGGCAGACACCCCCGAGCAGTGCGCCACGGCCTGCCACGAGGCGGCGCAGTGCCGGCAGTGGGCGTGGTGCCCCCCCGGCGCCGCCGGCGGCTGCGAGGCGCTCGAGTGGTGCGATCCCGCGGCCAGCGCCGCCACCGCCCTCCTGCCCGGCGGCACCTGCCTGCTGTCGTACGACGAGGCGGCGGAGGAGGTGGGGCGGGTGGCCTACCTGCTGGTCACGGGAGAGGGCGTGGCCTGGGGCAGCGGCGCGGCGCGGGACGGCGCCGAGGCGCCCGCGGCGGCGCCGGCCTCCTGGGACCCCTCGCCGGTGCCGCTTGAGAGCCCCAGTCCCAGCCCCAGCCCCAGCCCCAGCCCCAGCCCCAGCCCGTCGCCAGAGGCCTCCCCCTCGCCCTCCCCTGAGCTCTCCCCATCCCCGGCAGCCTCCCCCGCCCCCATCAACGGCTCCGACGGCGGCTGCCCCGAGGGCACCGAAAACTGCGGCGGCTCTGCGGGCACCCTGTGCATCTTGGTGAAGGAGGACCGGATGGTGAGCTGCTGCAGCGCCGGGCATGATTGCTGATTGCTGGCGCCGCAACATTTCCCTGCTGCTCGCCGCCCAGCCGGCCTGGGCAGCAGCCCGGCGGCCATTGTCGTTGAGGCGCCCGTCCTATCACAGGATCGGACAGCCTGGGCCCCATCTGCTGCCGCCTGACCCCTCTCCCCGCTCCTTCCCCTGCCCCCGCCACAGAACTGCGGCTTCTGCGGCCACATGTGCGGGGTGGAGGAGATGTGTATGGGCGGCATGTGCATGTGCCCCGGCGGCGGCCGCAAGTGCGGCACCTCCTGCGCCAACATCCTGCTGGACTCGTTCAACTGGTGAGGAAAGCCGGCTGCAGAGCAGGCGCTGGGCCGCGCAGCAAGCCGGCCCGCCTGCAGCCCTGCCGGCTCTGGCGCAGGCGGCGGGCAGCGCTCGTGGGCCGATGGCTGAAGCACCCAGCCCGTTTGCCTGCACTCACCTATGTCCCCCTGCCGCCCTGCTCCCCGTTCCCTCTTGCAGCGGCGGCTGCGGGATCAGCTGCATGCCAGGGCAGATGTGCATGAGCGGGGTGTGCACCTGACGGCGCCGCCCAGCGGCAATGATCGATGCAGCGCCCGGCAGGCGCCGCCGCTGCCGCACCACCACCCGCCGTCAAGGCGGCCACACTCGACCCCTCCACCCCCAGAACTGAACCAATGCGGCCCCTGCACAGCCACGCCATGATATAATCGTCCACCGTACGCATGCTACGACCATCTACCAACTTCTTGAGAGCGCCTGCCATCCTCTTCTGCATCCCTTGCCCCCATCTGTCCCAATCTGTCGTGTTACCCCTCTCTCCCGCTTCCATTCCCTTTTCTACTTCCCTTCCTGTAAGTGCGATTCCATGCACACGACACACTCCTGGGCATCTGACTTGGCGCAGCGCTGCGCAACAGGCCAGGTGCTGCAGCCTGCTCCTGCACCCTGCTCCCGACTGTTGCTGTTTCGTGTTTGCGGCCAAAGTGGTGGGCAGATGGCTGTTGCAAGACAACGATGGCCCAATGTTGGGGAGCGGGTGATAGGCAGGAATCGAGTGAGAGATCGGAGTCGCACCAAGGAAGGGGGGGCAGTATGGGTCAGGAGGTTGCGGCAAGTCAGGAGCGGAGAGTTGGGCAGAGCGGGGAAACACAGCAAAAGGAGAGGGAGCAGGCCGGCGGCGGCCTGCTGCTGGTCTGTGAGGCGAGGCGAGGTGCGCAGCGGGCCTGCCGGGCAGGCGCAGATGCAGGCCGCAGGCGTGGCGCGCCAGCATGGCGGGCTGGGCGCCGCATCACTGCTTGGGCCGCATGGAGGGCTGCTGCTGCTGCTGCTGCTGCATCATGCCCGGCATGAACATGCCCTGCTGCATGCCAGGCATCATGCCGCCAGGCATGCCGCCGGGCAGCTTCTGGCCGGCGCCGGCGGCCCCTCCCGGCATCATGCCCGGCGCCATCATCATGATCGGCTGCTGCCCAGGCTGGATCAAGAACGGCACCATGCCTTGCGGCGTGGCCATGAGAGTGATGGTGGCCCCCGGCGGCAGCCCCTGGCCTCCCGGCCGCGCCAGCATGGCGCCAGGTGCCATCCCCATCATCCCCTGCTTGCCCGCCGCCGCCTGCATCATCATCTGCTGCTGCGCCAGCATGGTGGCCGGGGCCGCCGCCACCGCAGCCGCGCTGCCCGCCGCCGCGGAAGCCGCCCCCAGCGCCGCCTGCATCGCCGTCTGCTGCTGCGCCATGCCCGCCGCCGCGCCAAAGCGGTTGCCGGCCGCCGCAGCCGCCGCCGACGCCGCCGAGGGCGCCGCCGCGGCGGGCGCCGGCGGCGGCGGCGGCAGCGGCACCTTCTTCGCGAGCTCTTGCTGCAGCGCGCGCTCCGCCGCCTCGTCCGCCGCTGCAGGGCGGGCAGCGCACGGCCGGCAGGCGTCAGCAGGTGCGGCACACAGCAGGCACCCAGGGACCACAGCGCGGGACGTAGCAGGTACCTGCCCCCAGGCTGCAGCCGCACGGGTCGCCGCTGAAGCGCGGCGCCTCCCAGCTCCCACCCCCAGCCCCGCTGCGCGGCAGCACGCGCACACACACACACGCACACCTATACATGCACACACGCACACATTTACAAGCACACACCACACACACACGCAAGCACACATGCACATACACGCACACACACACCTGAGCTGGCCAGGGCGCGCCGCCGCACGAGATCACGGGCCTTGCCCTTGAGCCCCGCGGCGAAGCGCGCCAGGCTGAGCGCGTACATGCCGGGCGGCAGCCAGGGGTTGACGGGGCGCAGCACCTGCGGCAGATAGGCACAGTCCACATCTTTCAAATGGTGTAAAAGGAATTATCAAAGATCAAACTGAGCGTGCAAGCCATGCGCGGGCGTGCACAACCGCGGCGGCGACCGTCCAGCCACAGCCGCTGCTGTTGGTGGCCTCAGTGGCCCACGGTCAGCTGCGTTGCTGTCGAGGCGCGCAGGCGCGACGACATGCCTCGCGCAGCGGCGCCAGCATCGGCAGCCACGTTCGCCGGTGCACTTTGCTGCCCCGGCCGGCGCCCAGCGCAGCCAGCAGGCCCAGCGCAGGCCCAGCAGGCGCAGCAGGCGCCCCACCTGGCGCCCCGGCCCCCAGGCCACGCCCTCTGCGCTGCTGCCGCCGCCCAGGCCGCGCCACTTGGCCACGTTGCCGTCGCGGACGGGCCGCCTGCGGCAGGGCGGGGGCACGGGCGGGGGCACGGGCTCAGCGGCCGCCAGGCAGGTGTGCAGGGGCGGCTGCAGCAGGCATATGTGCAGGGGCAGCCGCCACGGCAGCCGCCGCCGACGGGCAGCCAGGCTCTCGCCAGCTCGCCGGCCCGTGCCACGCGCGGGCACACCCTGCCGTGCACACCCGCCACACACATCCTGCCACACACACCGGTAGCTGTTGCGTATGTTTTCGTCCTCGTGCTCATCATAGCTGGAGGCCAGCCCCGCCTTCTTGAGAACCTTGGCCTCCTGCGCCGCGCGCTGCTCCGCCCTGCAGCGGCGCGGGAGGGCAGGCGGCGGCGGTCGGCGGCAGCAGCAAGTAGCGGCAGCCAGGTGCCGTGCCGGCAGGTACAGCTGTTGGCGCAGGCAGCGCCGTCAAGCCCTGCAGGGCTGCCCCCGGGGCCTTGCCCCGCCCCTCCTCAGCGGTGGGGACGCCAAATCATGGCAGCAGGGGACGCCAGATGGCGGCGGGCGGGCGCAGAGCAGCGCTCGCCTGGCCTGCGCCCGCAGCGCCTCGCGCTCCGCCCGCTGCTGCGCCTTGACCGCCGCGTTGTGCTTGCGCGTGATGCTGGCGCTGCTTCGGAAGTCGGTCTTGCCTTGCCTGCACCCCGGGGCATGCACAGAGCGACCGCAGGAGGGGCAGCGTGTGTGGTCAGCCGGCGGGCATCGCAGGCATCGCAGGCAGCGCAAACGGCAGCTCGGGCGGGGGCAGGGGCATCCCGCCGCAGCCGGAAACCCTGCGCCTCTTTCTCCCAGCAAGCCAGCCCACACACGCACGAAGCAACCAAAGGAGCACCCTCCTTCCCCCTCCCCGCAGCAGGCGCAGCACCCCCCCTCCCCCCCCTCCTGCCTCACATGGCCAGCTCCACGATGCGGTCGCACTGCCCCATGAGCAGCTTGGCGTAGTTGTGCACGGTACCGCCCTGGGCGTTGTAGGTGAGCGCGTTGGTGAACATGAGGCTGCGGGGCAGTGCGTGTTGAATGAATTTAAGGTTAACTAACAAGAGCAAGAAGCAAGGTGAGGCTGTGGTGGCGAAACGGGGACGGAGGCGGGGAGGCGGGGGCGGCGGAGCTGGGCGGGCACGTGCGGCGAAACGCCGTGTCCAAGCAGTGCGTTGAGCAGCGTGTGCGGGGCGGGGCGGGCGGCGGCGGCGGGTCAGGTGGCGGCGGCGGCGGCGCTGCGCGGCGCTGCGCCGGCAAGGCGGGTGTGCGGGCCCGTGCCCGGCGCGGGCGCCAGCCCACCACCCACCGCATGTCTGCCCGCAGTCCATCCCAGGAGGCGTACTCGCCGCGCTGGGCCTTGGCCCGCATGGTGGAGAAGTCCATTGGGCGCTGGATGACGGCAAAGTAGCCGGGGGCCTGCCGGGGGTGGAAAGCAGGCGGGCGGGGTGGGAAGCAGGCACTCAGAGGTGGTGCCAGGTGGGTGGGCAGCGGCGGGGGGCGATGCGGGGTGGCGGGGAAGGGCCTCGGGAGGAGGGGGAGGGAGGGGAAGGGACCGCAGGCAGGCCGCCGCTGCAAACCGGCAGGCGGCGGCCCGGGGTGTGCAGCCACGCAGCGCCGGCGCGGCCGGCGCGGCCGCCCCAGCGCAGCCCAGAGCACCGACACCTCCGCGCAGCCCGGCCCCAGCCCATCCCTCTAAAAACACACAGGCACACAGGCACACAGGCACACAGGCACACAGGCACACAGGCACACAGGCACACAGGCACACAGGCACACAGGCACACGGGCACACAGGCACACAGGCACTCACAATGGCCTCTGTGACGGGTTCCTTGAACATGCTGTGCACATCCTTCTTTTGGCAGCGAGCCAGCAGGCGCTCAAAGTCCTCCTTGCGCGGCGCGCCGCCCGCGCCGCGCGCCGCCGCCACCTGCGGCCACGACGCGGGCCCGTCGCCAGGCGGCGTCGCCGTGCCCGCGGTGTCGGCCACGCCGCCGCCGCCGCCGGTGCGCGCGTCAGAGGGCGCGGGGCCGCCGCCAGAGGCTCCCAGGCCGGTGGAGGAGGGCGCGGCGGCGGCGTGGCTGCTGCGCAGGTGGAAAGTGCGCGGCGCCACCGGCACATCCGGATCGTAATCCTCAAAGTCGTCGATGCCCAGGTCCCTGCACAGCGCCAGGGCGGCAGCGGCGAGCGGCGGCGACGGTCGGGATGGGGCGAGGGCGACAGGCTGCGGCTGACGCAGACGGCGCGGCGAGGACAGCAGTACATTCAGCTGTCTCGCCCAAAGGAAGGGGATCAGCCGCAGGGGTGGGGTGCGAGTAGGGCATTGTGGGAGAGAGGCATTGCGAGAGAGAGGAGAGCGGGCGACGCGGCGGCGGCGGCGCAGCAGGGGCGGCGGCGCGGCCTGCGCAGGGAAGTGCTGCAGCTGGCGCCCACCTGAGCTCCTTGAGCTCGCTGCGGGAGCGCTTGGCGCGCTTGGCGCCGCCCTCTGGCGACAGGCCTGCGCCCTTGGCGGTCCTGACCTTGGCTTTCTTCACGCCGCCGCCCGCCTTCAGCCCCGGCTTGGGCTTGAGAGCCTTGGCCTTGGGCCGCCTCACGCCGCCCCCGGCCGGCGCGCCCACCGCGGACAGCGTCAAGCGCACGATGGGCAGCGTGGCGCCGCGCGCCGTGGCGCCGCCGCCGGCGGTGGCGTCGACGGCCGCGGCCGCCGCGGCGTCGCACGGCTGCTTGGCTGGCGGCTTGAACCGGATCAGCGGCTTCTTGCCCACCGGCACCCCCGCCGCCTTGCCGGTGGTCAGCTTGATCTTCTTGATGGGCCGCGCCGCCGGCGCGGCACCGGCCTCGTCCCCAGCTGCATCGGGCGCCTCGCGCTTCACCCGCGGCGGCGGCGCCGCAGGCGGCGCATCCCATTGGTGCTCCACGGGCGCTGCCGGTGCCTGCCCCGCCCCGCTGGCCACCTTGAGCTTGAACTTCATGGGCTTGGAGGGCGCCGGGGCGAGCGCCTGGCTGGCGGTGCCCGCCAGCGGATCTCCCGCTGGCTCGATCGGCCACTGCTGGCTAGGCGCCGCATACAGGTCCTGCCCGGGCTGCTGCGGCGCGCCGCCCGCGCTGGGCTGCGAGCTGGTGGGTGCGGCTCCATCCCCCGTGCCTCCTGTCTTCACCTTGAGCTTGAACTTGAACGACATATCGCCGATGCAAGGCTGTGTGCCCAAGTTTTGCGGGTGGCGAGAGGCTGGGAGCTCGGGCGGGTGGCCGGCCCGGCCCCAGGCGCACAGCAACGCGCAGGAGGGTGCAGCTGCAGGCCCGGACGCTCACCAACTGTAATAAAAAGACAGCGCGCAAAGGCAGGGGCAGGAGGCTGGTGCCTGCCGGGCGCAGCGCAGCGTGGCGGGGCCGCCACGAAAGCGGGGGGCGGCTTTGCGCATCTGAAGCGAGTGGACGAGTGCTGCAGTGGCAGACAGTCTGGCCCTTGTGCAGAAGCTTTGCTTCTTCAGGGAGGCCAGCATCCAGATCGCCCCACTCTGCTCCGCCGCCAGAGGGTGATACAGGCGCCCGCCAGCCTCCCGCACTGCTGGCTCCTGCCCTGTTATACGAACTTGCCTGCTTGTGTGGGCTTACACTCTGATTTCAGCCAGGAACATCTTACAGCAAAGACGTTGTGGCTTTGGGTAGTGTTTTGATGCCCGGCAAAATCAGAATGAACTCGGCAGTTGATGCACTTGGCGCGAGCAGGCGCCGGCGGGCTGCTGCTCCTCCCATGCACAAGAAACTCGCTGAGCGCCACATGGAACCGGCACGCCGGCTAATAGAACACAACATTTCCGTTCTTGTACACCTCATGGGCCGCCGGGTAGTCATCGTGCTTGCTCAGGCCGAGCTGGGGGGGATCGGGGGCCGTGGTTTCTGCGTAGGGGCCGTGGCCGACATACACCACAATGGAGTCGCCATCCATGTCGGCTGGCCAGGCCACCTCAAACTGCAGCAGTATTTCGCCGTTCGTGTTGAAAACCAGGGGGCTGGTCTGCAGGCTGAGGCCCCAGGGCGTCGTGAATTCCTCAGGGCTGAACCTGCGGGGAGCAGGCGAGGCGCGCAGCCCGGCGGCGGGGGGGCATGCAGTCCGTCAGGGATGTGGGGAGGGGCGCAGGTGGAGCCGCGGGCTGGCCTGAGAGCTGCAGGCGCTCGCTGCACCCTGGGAGCTCGGCGGTCGCCGGCCGGCTGGCTGGCCGCCCGCCGGCGCCAGCGCACCCGGCCAGGGTGGCAGTGAAGCCGGTGACGCCTGTGGAGGTGGGCCCAGCGATGATGGCGTTTGCGTTGTACATCCCCGACGTGCTGCGCGCCCACGCCAGCCAGCCAGAGTTGGCCGCTCTGCAGCCAGCCGGGTGTTGCAAAGCAGAAGCAACTTGAGGTTGGCAGCGCCAGGAGCAGGGCCACCACTCGCATACTGGCAGCAGCTTCCCATCTCCCCGCCCGTACACGCCCGCAGGGGAGCTCACTTGATGGCGGCCTTGATCTTGGTCGGGGTGATTGTGTAGTAAATTTTGTAAGGGAACAGAGATTGGAATGGGAACGCTGGAGAGGAAGGGATGGTCTTGTCGTAGCACTTGTCATAGGACACGCCTCCCACGGTGCATGACGCGGCGGCAGGCGGCTTGGGACGAGGGGGCGGTCTGGGGCGGGGCGGGCGCGGGCGTGGCGGCTTGGGACGGGGAGGACGTGGGCTAGGCGGCTTGGGGCGGGGCGGGGGACGTGGGCGGGGGGGCGGACGTGGGCTGCACAAAAAGAAAGCTTTGTCTGTGTTAAGGTTCCAGAACGAGGAAAGAGTATTTTTACCTTTGGAGGTACGCACTGAAAATTGCGACATACTGAGCAGACGAGCATACCTTGGTGGCCTGGGTCGAGGCGGTGGGCGGGGTGGTTTGGGGCGAGGTGGTGGGCGGGGAGGGCGAGGCCTTGGAGGTTTTGGAGAGGGCGGCGTTGCAGCCAGTCGCCGAGCCCCGCCCGCCCCCTGCGAGCAGGCCAGCGAGGCGGGTTGGCGTTACATGACAGCTGCTTAGGCGGCGCAACTGCTGCAGGTCGGAGAACCGCATACAAAAGGCACAGGCGCTGCATGAACCACACTGTAGGCAGACAGGAGATGCGCAGGCTTTGACACAGCATCGGCCCGCAAGGCCCGCGAGTTGCGCTGTGCCGCCCTGCGCCCCCCCACCAGGCCAGCAGCGCGCACAGTGCAGGTTCGCCGCTTGCGGTCCGCCCACCCACCTGGGAGCTGTGTGAAAGGGCCGGCTCCTCTTCCTGCCTGCGGAGCTCGAGCAGGCCTGTTACCACATGGGGCACAGAGGCAGCCAACAGCAGCAGCAGCGCCAGCAGCGCCTGCAGGCGCGCCATTCCGGCGATGCGTTTGTGACCGCTTCTGGCACGCCTGAGCGCCTCAATTGCTGGGCCGCGGGGACGCGCCGGGTCGGAGGGAGTGGCCTGCCTCTCCGGGCTTCCCAGCCTCAAGAGCTAACACGGATACATCTCTCAGCACAGGGAGAGCCCTCGGAGCAGCCGTTGCAGAAAGAGAAAAAGTCTAAACAGGCCCCCCCGCCTGTACCGCGGCGGCGGGGGCCACCTTCGGTTCCAAGCGAGGTGTCCAAGTTACAGGGCACAGCTGCGACGGCGTTCCCTGGGCGCCGCGCCGCTACACGCCCTCCTCCATCAGCTGCCGCAGGGCGTGGTTGGGGCGCCAGGCGGTGAAGGCCAGCGGCTCGCCCGTCAGCGGCGAGCAGCCGCTCTGCGCCAGCCACGCCTCTGCCGCGCCGCGCTCGTAGCTGTGCCCGTCCGCCAGCACAACGGGGTCGGACATCAGGCAGCCCGTGAGCGGGCACTGCAGCACCGCCCGCAGCGGCGCAGGCAGGCGGGAGGAGCGGGCTGGCTCGCGCCAGTCCTGCTCGTCGCCCGGCTGCTGCACTAGCTGCTGCTGCTGCTGCTGCTGCTGCTGCTGTTGCAGCTGTTCCTGCGCCTGGTGCTGCTCCACGACGGCATTACAGCTGGCATCGCCAGCCGCTCCTGCCGCGCCTGCGCCTGGGGCTGCAGAGGGCCTGCCACCTGTGAAGAGGCCAGGCATCAGCTGAGCCAGCAGGGACTGAACCTCATCCAGCTGGTCTTGCTCGCTGCTTGCTGCTGCTGCGTCTGCTGGGCCGGGGCCCGCTGCATGTGAGACGACTGCCTCGTCTGCCGCCCAGCCAGCTGCCGCTGCTCCTTCCCAAACCTCCGAAGCAAGGCCCTCGGCGTGCATGCCGTTTGGAGGTGCTGCTGCTGCTGCAACGGGTGTGGCTGATTCGGCGACGCGCCCCGCTGACAAGGGTTGCTTCTTCTGCTTCTTCTTCTTGCTCTTGGACGCGGCAGCAGCCTGCTCCTCCTGCTGCTGCTGCCGCTGCTGCTGCTGCCTGCGCTGCTGCTCCTCGCGCTGCCGCTGCCTCTGCGCCTCGGCAGCCTGGCGCTCGGCCTCGGCGGCGCGCCGCTCCGCCGCCGCGGCCTCCTCCTGCTCCTTCTTCTTCTGCTGCTGCTTCTGCTTCTTGGCTGCCTTCTTGGCCTGCTGCGCGGCCTGCTGCTCCGCCTGCTGCGCCTGCTCCTCCTGCTCCATGGCCAGCAGAGCATCTGCAGCGGCATCTGCCGCTCGCTGCAGCAAGGCAGGCAACCGGGCCTCAGCCATCCATCCACGGTACAGCCATCATCCGCTCCATAGCAGGCAGTCGCGCAGGCACTCGGGATGCAAGGAGGCCAGGATGCGCGGTACAATGGCACACGTCGTGCACAGCATGGTCCCACCTGCTTGTCCTCCAGAACGGCCAGTTCGTGCAGGCGCTGCCCATCAACCGCGCTCTGTGCGGCCTGCAGCTGCACCCGCAGCTGCTCCAGCTCGGCTGGCAGCTGCTGTTCATGCTTCTGCTGCTGCCGAGACGGCTGCTGTTTGCCGTCAGGGGCGCCATCCGCCAGGCTGCCTGCCCCTGCCAGGATCGCCTCCATGCAGAGCACTCGGCTTGCCGTCCTCTGGATTGGCAAGCAGCAGGCACATAACAAGTAATGGCAAGGCCACCCGCATGCGAAAGCAAGTGCACTCTGCTTAGATGATGCACTGTGGGCGCAGCGGCACGGTGCCCAACACGGGAACGCTGGGGCGCACTGCAGCCTGCAGCAGGTGCCAGCCGTGGGCCAGCCAGCTCCGCACCTGCCCCAACAGCACACAGACGAGACTGCCGACCGCCAACAGCACTGGGCCAGGTTCCTGCAGCAAGTAGCAACCCCTGGATCCTGGGCTGGGGGATGCAGAGCGCATGGGCGTGGTTGCCCGACCGAGGCTGCTACCACCACCCCAGCCCGCCCAGCGCTCACCATCACTACAGTCGGTTGGGCCTGGCTGCCCGCATCTGCTCCCTCACTTGACTGCACAGCCTGCGCTGTTGAGAAGGCTCTGCAGAGGGACGGGGGGCGAGTAACCGCCCTGGCGCTGTGCTGGGACCGAGTCGCGGGCAGGGGCAGTCGCACACCCCCTGAAAGCACATCAGGCGCCGCCGCTTCGCGATCAATCCCCAGGGGCAGCGCAGGGCAAAGTGAAGCGTATTGGCAAGGCTGGCTGGGCGCGCTCACTGGTACGCGTCCAATGCGCATGCCCCAGCCAGCTTGCAAATGCTGTTGTCCAGCAGCAGGTGGTGGCAATGAGGCTCATGCCTGCATGGGCAGGGCCAGGGGCAGCGAGCCGCACCAGCGCCACCAACATTGGACGATCGCCAGCACAGCGGATGCAGCTCATGGGCTTCCATACACGCTGCAGCACGCCTGGCACCTTGTGCGTCGGCCCGACCACTCACTCTGCCAGCGCCCGCACTGCCTGCAGCCAGTTGAGCAGGCTGGTGCTGTGCCGGATCGCGCGAGCCTCGTCCAGGCTCTGCAGCCCCGCGCGGTGCAGCAGGCCCAGGTGTGCTGCAGCAGCAGGCATGTGGCAGGCATCGGCTGGGGGCAGGGTTTGCATCGCGGCACATGCGGCGGCGCCCGCCGGAGAGCCATACTCGGCATACGCCCAGGCCGCAGCCGGTGATCCAGCCCTGCCTGGGCAAGGGAACCGCCTGCCAGGTGTGCATCCAGGGAGGGAGGCCAGCAGGCAGGCGCGGCGCGCAAGCAGCGTGGCGCGCCCACCTGCGCTGCCGGCCAGAGCGCTGCTGGCCAGAGCCGCCGAGTGGCTCGATCTGTTATCGACTGCGGCGCGGACCAGCGACAGTGCACTGCTGAGGAACGTTTGGTTTGAAGGAGCCTGAAGGGAAGTCGCAACAGGTGAAGCATTCAGGCTGGCTGGGGCTGGTAGCACAAGGGGCTGGGGAGGAGGGGAGGTGCAGGGACGAGACAAGCTGCACAGGCGGACATCCACGGTGTGCCGTCCCCGGCAGGCATGCGCACCGTGGCAAACAGAGAGTGTCTGGCGAGCAGGGCCGCGGGCTTGACCACGCCTCCCCACTGCAGCCAGGGAGAGCGCGCACACAGTGCTGCCGGTGGCAGCCAGCGGCCGCAGGAGCGCCAGGCCACCACGGTGCCCAGGTGAGGGCCCGCCAGCCACCGGCAGGCCAGCCGCGGCCGGAGTTGCTGCAAAAGTTCTGACCTCGTGGGCTGCCAGCGCTGGCCCAGCCAGGCCCGCCCACCCACCTGCACCACGCGCATCAACACGCTGATGGGCATCACGACCAGCATGAGATGCGCCATGGTCCACTCAAAGTCGGCATCCAGCCCACCGGACAAAAACGCTGCGCCTGCAGCAGGGAAAGGATTCGGCGTGTGTATGAGTGGAGAGAGCAGCCGCTGATGGCTCCATGCAGCTGGTCCAGGGCAGGGGGGGCACCGGCGCTTGCACGCAGGGCCGAGCGGCGCACCGCCAATGGTGTGTGCCTGCATCACGGAAGACAGCAGGCTGAAGCCGTTTTGAGCCAGCGCTGCAGTCCTGGTATGAAAGCTGCTGCCACTGCTGCCCCGGAGCGTGGCCTGCAGCAGCACAAACGGCAGCAGACATGCGTCACACGACGAGCATGCCAGAATTCCAGGGGGGAGATCACAACGGTGGCAGGCAGGCCGCCTTGCCTCTGGCGGCGGGCCCGCCTCCGGGGTTGCTATGCGCAGCACCACGCCGACGCCGCCACTCTCGACAAACGCCCGGCAATTGGCCTGCACCAGGTTGCCAGCCAGCCAGCGAGCTGGGCGAGAGAGCAGGCCGCGCTGGCGCTGGCGCAGGCGCGGCAAGCCGGGGCCCAGCCGGCGGCAGCTTGGGGTTGCTCGCGAGGCAGGCCACCTGCTGCAGGCGGCCGCCGATGCCAGCCGCCGGGCCCACTCACCTCATTTGCGCTCGACGTCGAGCAGCAGGCGGCCTCCAGGGTGCACAGAAAGTACTTGCATGTCGTCCACCTGCAAGGCATGCAGGCAGGGGCTGTCTGAGCCACCCCACCTACAGGCGCTCGATGCACAGGAGACCAAGCGGTGCTGCTGCAAGCCCAGCTGGGCCCAACCCCATGCGGGGGTGGTGTGCCCCGGCGCCAGCGGCAGCGCACCTCTCCGGATCTTTGTCAGTGACTAGCACCGCGACTGGAGGCAAGGTGCGCAGGGAGTCGAGGCAGAGCTTCACCCCCTTGGCGCCAAACGCCGCCTGCGCGGCCTGCAAGCACGGCAGGCACACGGCGGCGCCGTGGAGGGTGGCTGGCAGCGAGCTGGCACGCGGCCTTGGCGCAGGCAAACCAGCTGCAGCGGGCGCCTCCAGCTTCCACGCTTGCAGGCCGCAGCGCCTTGCACCACTCGCGCAGCGGCGCCCTGCTGCATGCGTGCCTCCCTCACTCCCTGGCGGCGCGGCGCTCATGAGGACCAAGCAAGGCGCCTTGCCCGCTGTGTGCACCGCCCGCTCCCGACCGCTCACCGCTCCCTGCGGGTGAGCCATAAGGGTTGCTGCCAGGTGCAGCAACTTGACACCCAGCCAGTGGTAGCTCAGCACGTGTGTGGGCAGCTGGCTCTCATCATGAGGCCGCGGGGCGCAGACCTGCGGGAGGCGGGGCCGCCACACGCCGGGCGAGTGAGGAGCCAGCTGGCGCCAGGTGGGCATGCGTGGCGCTGCCCTGCCAGGGCGGGGCGAGACGGCAGCCCAAGCAGGAACGACAGAGCAGGCACGGCGCGGCGCAGCAGGCATCCAGCACACCTGCAGGAAGGTCAGCAGCGCCTGCATGCCCCCTTGCTCCAGGAAAACTGCCGGCTGGATGTTGTGCTGCACGCACGCGGCAGCAGGGGACGGGCGCACAGCCAATCAGGGCGCAGCGGCACCCACTCAGCAGACCAGTCGGCAGCCACCTGGCGCCAGTGCTGAGCCTGCACAGGTGCCAGCCGCGGCAGGGGCGGCCCTGGCGCAGTCCCTCCCTGCCTCCATCTCACCTTGCACACCAGCCAGTGCAGCAGGCGGAGCAGGGATGTGAGAGACCTGTTTAGCTTGATCCACCAGCCAGCATCCCCCTCCAACCCATCCAGCACTTGAGAGGGCGTGAGGCCCTCCTGCGGCGACGTGCAGGTGGCGCTGCAGGGGCAGGGTTGGCAGGAGGGACCCAGCATGATGTGGCTTGGCAGGGGCGAGGAGCGGGAGCATTGCCGCCAGGGCAGCAGCTGTTCGGCAGCGGCGGCGCGACGCACTCCACCAATGTCGCAAACGCCCGAGTGAGGCCGTGGATGGCGCTGAAGCGGTCCAGGCAAGGCAGCTGCTCGGCCAGCTGCGCCTGCTCCTGCCGGCTCCGCTGATCGTCTTCCCGGACCAGAAGGAACAGCAGGGGCTCCAGCCCTGCAGACTCACAAGCGCAGCGCACACAGGCAGCCGCTCTGCCAGCCATGCTGGCATGGGAGCATAGCAGGGAGGCCTACGCGGCGCAAGCCTGTCGAGCATGCAGCTGACGAGGCGGCCTCCCATCCAGCCAGCCAGCAAGCCAGGTAGCCAGCCGGCAAGCCAGGGCAGGAGGGACAGCCATATGCCGTGCAGCAGCGGGCTCGCCAACCCGAGCTACCCACCTTCCACCAGGCCAGCACACAAAACACACGACTCGTCGTCTGGGAGCTCTCTCACCCCGCACTTGTCTGCAGCAACAGAGACGCCGCGTGGCGCCGTTGCGTTGCATTCTGTCGCATTGCACCCCAGCACCATGCGTCCGGCCCACCTGGCAGGGACACAGCCGTGCAGAGCAGCGCAGGCATATGCCAGCCATGGGATGGGGCCCGCCGTGGCGAACGAGCGGCGGGCACTGGCAGTGGCGCAACGAAGCCGGCTCACCGATCCAGCAGCAGGCCGCCATCATGGCAGGCAGCACCCAGCGCCAGCAGGCCTCCCGCATCTCCCTGTGGCTGCAGCAGGAGACACAGGGCACACATCCACAGGCAGCTCTGTCCCAGCCTGTTGACACCGCCCGCATTGCTGCTTCCGAGCCGGGGCCGGCTGGCGAGCGAAACGGCATCACTTTGGCAGCACCCGCAGCGGAAGCACCAGCGGACGGTTTCGTGGGCGCCGGCGGCATGGGCGGCGGCAGGTGTGGCCGGAGGCCGGCCCCACCTGCAGCTGATCAGGCTGGGCAGCATCGCGGAGGCTGCTCGGAAGCAGTCTGACAGCATCTGCGTGTTGAACTCCGCACAGTATTCATACTCGACGCACTTGTCCAGGGCCAAGCTCAGGCAGTGCAGCACGCCTGCAAGACAGGGAGGCAGGGCCAAGCGTGCACGCGCACGCGTGTCTGCATGCGGCGCTGACCAGCGGCAACAACCACCAGTAGAGCTCTGTGTTGACACTCTACATGTCTGTGCTGACACTCTACGTGGCACACAGGGCCAACCCCCAACCCAGTGACTGAGCACAGGTTGACGACAGGGAAGGCGGGGAGGCACACAGGCAGGCACGCCAGCGGGCAGGCAGGCAGGCGGGCAACCGGGGGGATGGGCGGTCGGCAGCTGAGCTGCCTCACCCCCTTCCTTCCAGAGGAGCGGCGGCGGCACTGGCAGCTGCTGCGTGTGGTGCTTGGCCCAGGCGACGCCGACGTAGGCAGCCACCACGACAGCCGACAGGCACAGGTCTGGAAGCTCTTCGTCGACATCATCGTCCCCGGTGCCCTCACTCCCGCTTTCCTCAGCCTCCTCCCCGTTATCTCCCACAGCATGGTGCAGCGCCAGCAGCGCTGCCAGCAGCTCTTGCAACGCCCCTGCCGGCGCGCAGCCCGCCGCCAGCCGGCTGCAGCGTCAGGGCGCCAGCAGCCGTGTGACCGCATCCAGGGCAGTCCAGGGGCAGGAAAAAGGCCGCAGGTGCGCGTGCAGCAGGCATTCATAACCCGCGCCAGCACCACTCACGCCTGCAAGCGTTCCGCTGCTATCGCAGCCAGCGGGCCGGCCCCGCCCAAGCCCAGGGACCGATCGCCCACTTCATAGCCGTCGGTCCTGAAATGGCCCGCCTCCCACAGCTGCCTGCAGCGGCCCAGAATTGCGGCGGCGGCGGCATGGCCCTCGGTTGTTGCAGGCTGCGACTCAAGGGCATCGAATGTCTCGCCCAGCCCGCTCCAGCGCTGGGCTTCCCCAGACTCAAAGTATTTAGTGAACTCTGCAGCGCAGCGTGCGACGGAACACGCAGAGCACACAACCAACCCGGGTGGGCTGTGGCCGGGACAGCAGCAGCGCCTGGTGCCAGCGGCTGGCGGCGGGAGGCGGGGAAGGTGTCCGGCGGGAGCGCCGGGTGCACGAAACGGGCACCACTCTGCCCCATAGTGCAGTTGTAAGCTCCCACAAGCCCAGCAGCAGGTTTTGGGTGATGCCTATCAGACCATCGGTCACCTGAACGCGCTTCGGCGGCTGGAAACTGATCTGCCAGCTCCTCGACGAAGCGGCAATATTCATTGAGCCCCAGGCCAGGCTCTACTGGCCCGAAGTTTGGTTTAAGCTTCATCGCCGATGGACAATCGCGCTCAGCAAGGAAATCCCTTCGCCAGCGTGTGCTTGCGCCAAGCCAGTTGAGTTGAATCGTTGAATGGGGATGACAAGGCGGCGCCGCCAGCATGGCGCTCCCGCCCCAGGCGGCTTTCCACGGCGGGGCAGGAGCATTGCACGCCCTGGCAGCACCAACAAGAAGATATAAAACAAGCAGTGCAGGGAGGGGGGCAGAAAGAGGTTCAACGCGGCAGCTGCCCGTTGGCGCCGCCATGCTCAGCTCCAGCGCGCTCACTGGCCGCCGCCGGCGTCCGCCGCCACAAACGCCTGCTCAGCCAGGTCGATGGCCCTCCCCAGCGCCGCAGACTTGTTCACCGTCTCCTCCCACTCGCTCTCCGGGACAGAGTCCGCCACCAGGCCCGCGCCCGCCTGCAGGCGAGGCACGCGAGGAAAGAAAGCAGCGAGCCGGCTCAGGCCGGGCGGTCAGGGAGGGTGCGGCATCAGCCGGGTGGCCACGCACACAACACCAGGTGCCGTCACCGCTGCCCACCGCCGCACGCACACACAGGCTAACACTCGCACACACGTGCTTCTGCCACACGCACACACCACACACACGCCTCCGCCGCACGCACGCCGGCGCCTCCACCGCACCCACAGCCACATACAAATAGCCGCAGCCCACACCTGCAGGTGCACCACCCACTCGCGCCGCGGCTTGCTGCCCCCGTAGCTGTACAGGGTGTCGTGGTGGGCGGTGGGGATGACCATGGTGCGCAGCGCCAGCGCCATGTCCATGCCGCCTGCGGTACGGCAACATCGGTACGGCAACATCGGTACGGCAACAGCTTCACGTGGTGGGGCGAGACGTGGTGGGGCGCCACACATTTTCCTCTCGGCTCGGAAAGCTTATAAACAGGAGACGAGTGGCTGCCGGGCAGCGGCCCGGGCGAGGAGGCAGGCTTCCCGCGCAGCCCGTTTGCCGCCGCCGGTTGGTTTGGCTGCCACCTCCCCTGCCCCACCTGTGAAGGACACGTGCCCGATGCCGCCGCCGTACGGCCCTCGCCGGTTCACCTCCAGCTCGTCGATGATCTGCATGGCGCGCACCTGCATGGGGAGGGGTTGAGGCAGAACGTTGTTGGGTGACAAATGGTGGTTGGTGTGGCAACGGCGGTGTGTGTGTGGGTAGTGTGGAGCAGGGGCGGGGATATGAGGAGGCACGCAGGCAGGCAGGCAGAATGGAAGGCAGCCAGTCGGCCAGACGCGGGCGCCGCCAGGCCGCCACGTGCGGAGATGGGCGGCGCGGCCGCACCTTTGGCGCGCCGCTGACGGTGCCCGCGGGCAGCGCTGCCCGCAGCGCATCCCAGGAGGTCAGGCCGGGGCTCAGGGAGCCCGTCACTGCGGCAGGAGCAGCGCACATACAGGTGGCACGTCGGTTGGAGAAGGCTAGAATGTCCACGCAGCCAAGCTTGCCTGCTGAGAGTTGTGACGCATGCTGCGCGTTGGTATTGCTGATTCTAGCCCGCCACACATGCAGGGCATGCCAGCTGTGTCGTCGGCCAGCTGTGACAGAGCGGGTGCTGGTTCAGGCATGTCACACCAAGGCGGTCCACCAAGGCGGTACGCACCCGTGGATGAGATGTGCATGACGTGGCTGTACCGCTCCACCTCCATCAGCTTCTCAACCTTGACGCTGCCCGCCTGGGATACCTGTACCACGGTACCGCGGGCGCGCGGACAGCAGGGAGGGAGGGAAGCAAGCAGGTGAGCGCATGCGGCAAGCACCCCAGGCACACCGCCCGCCCTGCTTTCCCGCCACGCAACCCCTTCCCCACCTGCCAGCCACCTTGCCCACGGCCAGGCAGCCCACCCAGCCCCCACAGGCCCCCCGCCGCCAGCCCCACCTTGCCCACATCGTTCCTGCCCAGGTCCACCAGCATCACATGCTCCGCACACTCCTTCTCATCCGCCAGCAGATCCGCCTCCAGCTCCGCATCCTGCTGGGGCGTCTTGCCGCGCCGCCGCGTGCCCGCCAGTGGCCTGCGGGGTGGATAGACAAGGCCGTGTGTGTGTGTGTGTCTGGTAAAAGACTGGAAGCAAAATGCAGAGAAGGTGGAGGTGCAGCAGGGGGCGGGGCTGTGCAGGCTGAGCAAGGGAGCGGCGAGGCAACCCTCCTGCCTGCTGCTCCTGCCAGCCACACACCTGTTGGTGACTGTGCCGTCCTCGCCCACGCGGCACAGGATCTCCGGGCTGGATGCCACCACGATGCAGCCGCGGGCCTGGAGGTAGGCCATATAAGGGGAGGGGTTGACCACGCGCAGCGACCTGCACACAAGAGGGAGAGGCGACAGGCGGCGGCGGCGGCGTTGCTGGAGTGGCGCCGTCCACACCATTACTGCCCCTCGTGCGGCGACATCTCGAGATCCGCAATGTGGAACCTTGGAGAAAAGCTGCCGCGTGAGCATGGAACAACTGGCATTCATGCGAGACGCTGCAGGCACCGATCTAATAAGATATAATAAGCCACCCGGCCCAGCCTCGCCTGTAGATCTCAAAAGGGTCTGCAAAGGTGCGCCGCTCAAAGCGCTGGCTCAGCACCAGCTGGAAGATGTCGCCCGCCTGCAGGGGGAAGAAGGGGGCGGGGGCAGGAGCGCAGTACACGCAGTTAATAGGGCGCCGGCAGCAGGCCAGGCGGGCATGCACCATCGTGCTTCAGGCCAACAACACCTGCCCCGCCCGGTGTGCCCAACAGCTCGCCGCCAGGCACGCATGACCCAAACACCACACATGTGTGTGCACACATCACCACCACCAGCAGCTACCCCAATGCACACACACACCACCGCCAGCGCGACCCACAGGCACCCCCCACAGCCCGCACCTGGATGTACTCCTTTGTCGCCTCCACCGCCCCCAGAAACTCCTCCTTGCTCATGTTGCTGGTGGCGGTGCGCGGCCGCTGGCTCAGGCTCAGCGACACCTGCAGGCCACAGGCGCAGGCGCAGGGCAGGGCGAGCGGAGCCTCGTGACCCGGGTGCCGGCAGCCGCAGGCGGCGCCGCTTGCTGCTCCGCTGGGCGCGGCGATGCAGGGCGAGGCGCTGCTGCCGGGCTGGCCGGCGGCACACACGACTCATGCGTTGCATCGCTGTGCGCAGCAGCTGCGCGACCGCTGCCTGCCCACCTTGCCGTTGAGCAGCTGCGGCGCGTTCTGGTTGGCGATCTTGGCGGCGGTGGCGGCCAGGCGGCGCTTGCCCGCCAGGTACGCCTCCTCCACGCTGCCATAGTCGCCCAGGTGGACCTGCGGCAAGGGAGGGGCGCGTGCGTGTGGACGTGAGTGGCTGTGTGCGGCAGGTGCGTGGGTGTGTGGGTGTGTGGGTGGGACAGCACGGGGCGCGCACCCATCTAAGCGCGGCATCTCTCTCTCTCTCTCACACACACACACACACACATAGCCACACTACCGCACACCCGCACCCACCCCCACCCGCTCACCCAGGAGATGACGTAGGCGAGCTTGGTGGCGTGGTCAAACACCACCACATCGTTGTACAGGGCCAGGTGGATGTCGGCCAGGCCGCGGTCGTCCTCGGGGGCCTCCTCAAACGGCAGCTTGCCTGCGGCGGGGCGGGGGCAGGTGTGCGTGTGTGTGTGTGTGTGTGCGCCGGGAGGATGGGGGCTGACGGAGGGTGGGAGGTAGATGAGCACGGCAGGTGACGGGCTAGGGGCAATCACCGTGAACACAACTCACAAGCCACTGTATGTCCATGCGCCCATCCTGCACAGCCAGCCGCCCAGCAGCCCGCCAGCCACCCGGCAGCCACTCACCCGAGTAGACGTAGCGCACGGTGTCGTACCCCGTGTACCCCACCCAGCCGCCGGTGAAGACGAAGGGGAGGCCGTCGGAGCGCACGGGGCGCCAGTGCGAGCTGAGGTCAATGGCCACCTGCAGGGGCAGGGGTGAAGGCGGGTGGCCGAGATGGTGTCAAAACAGTCTCCACATGTGTGGAGGCGAGGCTCAGGTGCGCTTGTGACCGCCCGCCCACACCCCAGCCCACTCGAAGCTCCTCCCAGCCCTTGCAATGCCAGCCGGCCAAGCGCGGCGGCAATGCCACGCGCCGGCGGCCCAGCAGCAGCCGCCCAACGCGCTGCCGCTGCCCCTTTCAACCTTCACAGCGCACCAGCCGGGCAGCCTGCCAGCTGCATGGCCCTCTGGAAAACACCACCACCGCCGCCACCGCCGCCGCCACTAGACACACAGCACACCTCATGCATGCACCCGGGCACACAACCACCAGCGCCGCACACCTGCATTGGGTCTGCCACAGTCTGGGAGTCCCGCGTGCCTCGCCGGTGGTCCATCACGTGCACCTGCTGCCCTCGCGCCACAACCTCCAGCGCGGGCGTCGCGCCCACAAAGCTGTACCGCCCCTGCACAGGCGGTACGGTGCGGCAGCGGTACGGCAGCTCAGCCAGGAGGGCGGCACAGGTGCTTGGGGCCCCAATAACAGCGCTACCTGTGCGGGGGCTGCTGCGCAGCCGGCAGCCTGCAGCGCGGCGGCCTGCAGCGCGGCGGCCTGCTGCCTGCCGCCTGCTGGGGGCCTGCAGGCTGTAGGGCCGCACCTGCTGCGAGCCGTTGGTCACCGACTCAAACAGGAAGGATGGCGCCTCGCGGTCATCCTCCTTCACCAGGCACCGGTAGGCCAGCACGGGGGTCAGCTGGTCTGCCATCACCCGCTCATACAGAGGCACCAGGTTGCCCTGCATGTCAGGCAGCCAGGCAGGCAGGCAGGCAGGCAGGCAGAAGGCGGAGGCGGTGGGCAGCTGCCAGCAGGCAAGGCGAGCTGGTGGGGCACAAAGGGCAACAGGCAGCAGAGCAAAGTCGTCCCCAGCAGGGAGCAGATGCCGGGGAGCATGGCAGAAGCAGGGGTGACCTAACCCAACATGGCTGCGCCTGGAGCTCAGGCAGCGGAGGCACATGTTGCGGCACCACGGTGTGTGGCGGGATGGCCCAACACGTGGCGGCCCCGCACCTGTGCCGCTGCTGCCTTGAAGCGCTCAAACTCCTTGTCGAATCCAAGGTCGGCTTCCAGCGCCTGCTCCACATCTGCACCACCGCATGGCACACAAGATGAGAGCAGGCCACACACAGGCAGCGTGAGGCAGCGAGCGGCGGTGGCACGCGCTAGGGCTGCAGGCGGCGGGGCGCTCCGGCCTCCTGGCAAGGCCGGCTGGCGCGGCGGCCGGCGGAAGGCTGGGCCGTGCCGCCTGCAAACGTGCCTGGTAGGGGTGGTGCGTCCCTGGCTGCTGCAGAGGCTGCCACATGCCGCTGTCGCGTGGTGGGCTGTGTCCGGCTGCAGCACGACAACTGCGAGCGGTTCTGCTGTCCCTGCTGCTGCACTGGCTGCTGCAACGCTCTGACCACCCTCTCTTGCGGTGCCAGGCCCCGCAGGGAGCCTGCGCCGCACTGCATTGAGGGAGGGCCGCTCAGACGCAGTCCGCTGCCGTCGAAATTTGTTGCGAGGATGTACAGCTCGCAATCCAATGTGCTCAAGTCCCGTTTCGCCGCCAGCTTCATGTTGCCATCTCCTGCTGGGCATATGGGCGCAGCACGGGGAGCCAAAACAACGCAATCGGTTCAATTGCAGACAGCATTGTGTCGACAACAATCCCTGCAAACACGTTAGGTGCCCAGCAGCAGAGGCAGCAGCCGGAGCACCACCATCCGAGCAGCACAGCTCCCTTGGGCACTAGAAACAGCAGCAACCAGCGGTTATGGTTTTTGCATTGGTTCGGCCGGGGGGGGCCCGCTTGGTTGCCACGCTCGGCCGCCGCTCTCTCCACCTCTGCGCCCCGGCGAGGCCTGGAGGACCTCATAGTGCTGCCGCCCAAGGAGGGAGAAAAGACGCCGACGACAGGCGCGCAAGGGTTGGGCCTGGGGCGCAGCGGCGGTCAGCGGTCGGCGGCATGGCATGGCCTGCTGCTCTCTGCAGCGTGTCTCTGCCTGCATGTGTTCCAACCAGCTTCACCTGGTGCGCTCATGTGTGCAGGGCGGGCATGGGAGGCAGCAGACTTGCGGCGGAAGAGCTGGGATGACTTGCACAAGCTCTGGTGCGACCCTGCGCCGCGCTACCGCCCTGCCTTGCTGCCCTGTGCTGCTGCCCATGTTGTTAGCGGCCGCACCAATATGCCGCTACACACAAATTGCAGCAGGCTTCGCGCTCTTTGTGGGTGCATCCCCTTCTTGCTGTGGCCGGCCCTCCGCTGCCTGTGCCCCTGACCCCACCGCTCCTCCCGCCGGCTGGCCGCCCGCAGGTTTGTTCTGCTCAAGGAGCGCACCCGGCTGCACGGCGAGAAGTCCATGTACCGGGCGGCGCAGCAGCGCATGCCAGACCCCTCGCGCCTCACGAAAGTGCGCAAGTCGATGAATCGTATCAAGCAGGTGGGAGTGCGGTATAGCTGTGCCGGTGCAGGGCAGGGCGGGCGGCTGCCTGCAGAGCGTGCTCGGTGTGTTGTGCTGTAGGGTAGGCAGCAGTCAGACTGGCGGCGGTGCCTGCAGGGCCGTGCAGCCTGTAGGGCCGTGCAGCAACCGCCCTGCTGGGGAATGCTGCTGTTGCAGGTGCTGAGCGAGCGGCTAAAGGAGCATGAGGACCCAACGATACGGATGGAGCTCAAAGCCTTCATCGACGGCATGTGAATCATGCAGAGTGCGGCCATCAGCGCTCGCCACTCCTCGCCGCACCTCACTCCCTAGCTTGCTTCCGCTCTGCTTGTCCCCGCTCCTCTGCCTGGATGCTTTCCCAGTTACTGCTATTTGTTTCATTGTAACGAACCGATGACGCATGTGCATCAAACGGTGAGCACGGAAGGCAATGGCGGCAGTGTGAACGCCCGGCTGGCATCCGCCTGGCGTGTTGCTCAGGACTCCCGATGCGGCATGGGCACTTCTTTGATGGCCTTTACAAGCTGTCTAAAGCCAAAAGATGGGGGCAGAAGGCGAGACCGAGCCGTCTGCCCCGACAATCGTCCGAGTGCAGACCGCAGCAGCGCAGGGCAGCAGGAAGAAGCGGAAGAGCGAGGCCGCTCGATCGCCCGCGGACGCGCCCGTCGCGGAAGTGAACATCCAGTATGAGGGTCTGCCGCCGTGAGCGCCGCCCGCCGCCGCCGCTCGCCGCCGCCACCACCGCAGCCGCTGCAGGCTGCTGGGCCGCATCTCGTCCGACGCGGCAAGCCAGTCAGCTGCCCATCCAGCGCGGGCCGCTTCAGGAGCGCTCCGTGCCTCGTCCCTCTGCAGCGACAGCCGCCTGAAGCTTGATGAGGCGCTGCGGGGCTGGGCGGAGTGGCACGCTGCCAAGTACCTGCCCGGCTATGTGCCGCCCGAGGTGGTCAGCGGCAGCCTGGGCTACCGCCCCGAAACCATGGAGCTGGCCTGGGAGGACAAGCCCGCGGCCCCGGGCGTGGGCCCGGCAGAAACGATGTGGTTCAACGTCAAGTATGAGCAGGTGGGCAGGCTGGGCCAGGCGGCAGGCTGGGGCAGGTGGGCGGCTGGGGTGGGCGGGAGGCTGGGGCAGGTGGGAGGCATGCTGGGTGGGCCCGGCGCTGCGCTGCCGGCCTCCTGCGCTGTCCACCTGCTGCTTCCCGTCGGCCCGCTGGGCTGCCTGCCCGGACACATCGAGCCAAGCCTCGCCTGCTGCGCTGCGCTGCGCTCGCTGCGGTACAGGCGGGCGGCGTGCCGCGGTACGACCGCCACACCGACAACCAGCTGGCTTACTCCAACAAGAAGCGGCCCTCAGACACGCTGCTGGCGGCAGAGGAGGCGGCCGCGGGCGCCGGCGGCGCGGGCAAGCCCGTCAAGCGCCTGCGCAGCAGCAACAGGTGCGGTTCAGCAGAAGCGGCAAAGTGGCTGTGCTGGGCGGCTGTGTTGGAGGACTGGGCTGTGGCTGGGGAGTGGCATGCGTGCAGCCCTCCGGTTGCCTGGCACGCTCTCGACCCATGGTGCCCGGTTTGCAGCCTTGCCTCCCATGCCATCAACCCAGCACCCTCTCAACCCGCCACCTACAACCGCCGCCGCTGCCAACTCCCTGTTGTCTGCACCGCAGGTGCTTCAACTGCGGCAGCTACGGCCACACGATGCGGGAGTGCTGGAGGGAGCACAACCGGGAGCTGGTGGAGGAGAGCAAGAGGCACGTGGGGCTGAGCTGGCGCCACGCTGAGCTGGCGCCACGCTGCGGCATGTGCTGAGCTGGCGCTGCGCCGGTCGCCCGCCTCTGGCGGCAGCTCGGCAGGCTGCCGCTGCATCTGCGGGTGCCTCTGCCTCTGATTGCTCGGCCTGGGCCGGGGCCGGGGTGTTGGCCTCTCAGGCGACAGATGTGTGCCGCCATCGGCACCGGGTGCCACGGGCCTGCAGGGAGCATGCGGAGGCGCGGGGCCCCGCCTACCGCTCCGCGCCCAAGCGCTACTACCTGGAAGGGGCGGCGGAAGGTGGCGACGGGCGCCGCGGGCTGGAGCAGGTGGAAGGGGAGTTTGCCGGGCTGGCGCCGGGGGTGCTGAGTGAGGACCTGCGTCAGGCGCTGGGCATTGGTGAGCGGGTCTGGAGTGGTGGTGGCGGTGGTGGTCGTGGTTGTTGTTGTTGTTGTTGTTGTGGTGGTGGTGGGTGGTGGCGGCGGCGGTGGTGGTGTTAGCGGCGGTGGTGGTGGTGGAGTGAGGTACGGTGGTGGTGGTATGATGCTGGTAGTGGTGGGGTGTGGATGTGTTTGCTCGAGAGTGCCGCGCCACGGCCCTGCGCCGTGGCAGCAGCCGGCTGCGACGCGCAGTAAACCGCCCTCTCTGCCTGCCTGCCTGCCGCGCCTTTGTGCCCTGCCGCAGGCCCCACGGCTCCTCCGCCCTGGCTGCAGCGCATGCGGGAGATGGGCCTGCCGCCGGGCTACATGGCTCCCGTGCCAGCAGAGGCGGACCCACCTCTGGCGGCAACAGGCAACGGCAGCAGCCGGCCGGCAGCAGCGGCGGCGCCTGCTGCGGATCAGCCCCTGGAGGATTTCATTGCTCTGGAGGCCAGCCCGCCGCCGGAAGCTGGCGAAGAGGCAGGTGCCACGCCAGTGAAGCTGGAGTGCCGGGTGCTGTTCCCAGGGGTCAATGCCCCTGCCCCAGAGGGCGCAGACGCGGCCGCCTGGGCGCCGCCGCCGCCCCAGCGCCAGCCCTCGCTGCCGCCGGGCTTCGGCGAGGCCACGCCGGCCTCGTACGGCACGCCGGCGGCGGAGCGGTGGCAGCAGCGGCAGCCTGGTTCGGCAGAATGGGGCGGCAGCGGCGGCGGCAGCGGCGGCGGGCGCTGGCAGCCGATGCGCGGCCTGCACCCGCCCCGCCACGCTGCCTCAGAAGGCAGCCTGGCAGCAGTCAGGGCCGAACCGGCCACCAGCCAGCAGCAGCAGGTCACGCCGCCACGGCCCGCGGGCCCAGCTTACGGCGCCTCGGCGCCAGATGCGTACCAGGCGGCGCAGCCGCAGCAGCCGGCAGCCCAGCTGCTGCCGCCTGGGTTCGGTCAGCAGTACCATGCTCAGCAGCTGTATCAGCAGTACCAGCAACAGTACCAGCAGGCGCAGCAGCAACAGCTGCAGATGCTGCATCATCTGCAGCAGCAGCCTGCTGAGGCGGTCTACAGCATCAGCCGCTCCGACCCCGGCCACCTCCTCGTCTTCGACCAGCGAGGCGCCGGCATGCCCAGCCACAACCCCGCATACCACCAGCAGCAGCCCCACCAGCAGCAAGTGGCGCCGCCACAGCAGCAGCAGTACTGGGCGCTGCCTCAGGCACACCAGCAGCAGCAGGAGTATCAGCGGCCGGCGGAGCTGCCGTACCAGCAGCAGCAGTACCAGCAGCCGGCGGCGCTGCCGTACCAGCAGCAGCAGTACCAGCACCAGGGAGCCAGCCCCTACGATCAGCAGCAGCAGCAGCAGCAGCAGGCGTATGGTGCGATGCAGCAGCATGCAGAGCAGCCGGGCGGAGGCGGCGGTGGTGAAGGATCCGGCCGTGCCTACCAGCAGCAGCAGCAGCAGCAGCAGATGTGGCTGAGCAACGGCAGGTTCTAGCGGGCGCCACGCGCACATCTCAGCTCACATTCTTGGTTGCTGCTGCTGCCTCATTTTAATGGCAAGTGAGCATCATCATCATGGCAAGTGAGCATGAAAGCATTGACAAAAGGGTAACCATTGAAAGGGTAACCATTGAAAGGGTAACGATTGAAGGTGTTACCATTGAAATGTACCCATTGAAAGTGTAAGCATTGCACAGTTGAAGAGATGCTACAGGACATGCATTGCTAGACCACGTGTCGTTGCAAGAGATCAGTGGTCCAGTGAAGCGCGGGGAGAGCTGCCTTCCACGAGCAGCGCATCCTCGGGTCCGCCCAGCATCCACAGCCAGTTGGGCGGCTGGATCTGTACTGCCTTGGCGATCGGGCGCCGCGCCACCAGCATGTTAGGAATGTGCACTATTGACGCACACTCGGGGGGCACCCAGGTGCACGCGGCGCGCTTGTCGCAGGCCGCCCCCAGCCTGCCGCTGGACGAGCCGTCTGCGACGGCGGTTTTGCCGGTGCAGATGGTGGTGAGGTGAACGTTCACCGGGGCCACCCGGCCGGGGTGCACCAGCACCTTGGGAGAGCGAGCCAGCATGCCGACGTAGCGGTACTTGGGCAGCGGGTTGGGCCCTCTGGTGTTGGCCCACCAGGCGGGCTCGTAAGGGAACGATTCGGGCTGCATGTCGCTGAGCGGGAAGATGTTGCGCCGGTCGAGCGCCAGGCACTCTTGGCGCATGCCCGGGGCGGCCATGCAGCCGCCGGGGGCCAGCATGGACGGCAGCGTGTCCCCTGGCACCGCCGGCACGATCAGCTCATCCACGTCCGCCACCAGCACCCGCACGTTGCGCCCCCAGAAGGACAGCAGCGCATGGTTCTCCACAATCTGTGGGCAGGCAGGCAGGCGGGCGGGCAGGTGCTGCTGCTGAGTAGCCAGGATGGGGGAGCGCTTTGCTTAGGCAGGCTCCCGGCATGCAGGTGGCCAGGCAGGCGACCAGCGGCAGGTATGGAGCCAGCCCACCTGCAGATCGAAGTCGCGCCAGCCCTGCAGGCAGCCAGCGATGCACATGCCAAGCGTCAGGTGCGGGCGCAGCCAAGCCCCTCCCCTGCCTTGTTCAATCACCGGCTGCCTGTCGTCCGCATGGGCCTGCTGATGCCAGCTTCCAACCAGCTGCCAGCCGCGTGCCCGCATGGCTCTACTCACTGCTGGCATCCACCCCTCAACAAAAATCAAAGCCTGGCCCTCACCTCATACCAGGAGAACTCATCCCACAGGACCAGCACCAGCCGCCCAGCAGCCACCAGCTCTCGGATGCGGGGCTGCGCTGCCAGCTCCACCTCATCCTTGGGCAGCACATACATGATGGTACCGGCCAAGCCCAGCGGCTGGTAATACTCGTCTAGCCAGGCCAGGATGGCGCCAGCGGTGCCGGCCTCGAGGGAGTAAAAGTAGGGAGTCGCGCGGTACACTGGCGGCGGCGGGCCGGTGCCGGCCCCAGCGCCGCCGCCGGCACCGGCTTCCGCCGGCGGGGCGGCCAGCGCCGCTTGCAGCTGGCGCTTGAGCGAGACGCGGCGGGGCCAGCCTTGCACCAGCAAGTCAAAATCGACGGCGGCGGTGGGGCCAAAGTCGAGGCTGACGATGCCCATTTCATAGGCCGGCCTGATTTCCTTTGCTCGTTTGTCCGAACACGCCTGCACGTCGCCGGCGGCGCCGCAGCCGGCCAGCAGGACGGGCACCTCGCGCTGCCAGCCGGCTGCAGAGCGGAGGATCAGGCGGAGGGACTTGATCTCGGGAATGTTCCTGGATGGAAAAAGAGGGAGAGAGGCAGGCGAGCAGAAGGGAGGTGAGCGCAGGGACCCATGCTGCCTGCTGCGACGGCTGGCTGTGAGCAGCACTGCACAGCCGGGTTTGAGCAGCAGGGCTGGCTGCCAGCGCACATGAAGGTGGTGAGGGTGGTGGTGTTCCAGTGCTGCGGCCAGGACGTGACCTCAAACGCCACAAAGCCGTTCATGCGCAGGTGGTGGCCGCCCCCCTCCACCTGCAGCCAGGGCGGGCACGCGCGCGTGTCCCGGGCACAACCATGCACGCTATGCGCTAGTCTGGTCTGCAACTCTGAGCAGGCGGGGCTCCCTGAGAGGGGTGCAGCCTCCCTGAGCTCACCGGCCATCTGAGGGCCTTCAGGTAGATGTGCAGCACGCCCGCCCGCTTGCACGAGCCCTTGGCAGGCGCCACCTTGTCAAACTCGCCGGGGATGGAGTAGCGGTGCACGCCGCTGTGCGCCGTGGGCAGGATGGCTGCCTGTGAAGGGGGCGCGGCAGCCAGCTGACGCGCTACCATCCCCCTGGAGCCGATGCCTGCCGTGATGGCCCAAGGACGCGCCAGCAGGAGCAGCGCCGACGCCGCAAAGAGGCGCAGCAGCAGCGCACCAATCCTGCGGGTAGCGGAGGGGGCGGGGATGGCAGTTGCCTGGTTGGTGGCTGGCCCCGGCCGCAGGTCACAGCCACCCGCCTCCACATCCCGGGACCATGAGCAGCATGGGCTCGCACCTGCTCCTTGTGCACCCTGGGGATGCAGCAGCGCTAGTCATGGAGTGCAGTGCAGCCGTCTGGAGCCCGCTGGAGGGCAGCGTACTTCAGCACTCGGCACGGCGGCTGTGCATGCGCGAGCAGCTGCCACGGAGCGCGGCACCCCCCTGCATGCAAGCGAGGCGACGCAGAGCAGCAGTCCTCTGGTCAGGGAGCCGGGCCATAGGGGATCAGGCCGCCATAGGCACAGAGCGAGGGGAGCGGGCCGGCCAAGCCAGGCACGCGAGAGCGGCGAGAGGGCCGCCGCCGCCAATGCTGCGCCGCCCCAAGGAGAACGCAACGATCCTGCCGCTTTCTCAGAATGCCGCGCAATACACAATCGTCGAGAGCAGGCGCTGACGCCCGCCTCTTTTCAACCAGAAAACGCTCAAGGGTGAGCACCATGGTGTGGTGGTCAACTAGCCAGCCTGTAGCGTCTGTGGCACGCTGAACGCGGCAAATCGCTCACTCGCCTAGAATTCACGACGCGCCAAGCATCTGGCGCGAGCAACGTCGGGTGCCCGCCGTGGCGATCGCGCGAAAATCCCACAAGACTGGACCGGACTGAGGACGTAACACCATGAACGCAGTGGTAACGGCGACATGTAGCCCATGCCGACCATTTACCGGACATGTGCCAACAAAAGTGTGTGCGGCGGAGCTGACGTGTCGGCGCCTGCTGCCCTTCTGCTGCCTGGGCCAGCAATGTTCAGTTCCTCTCAATGCACGTTCACAGGCCTGAAGAGGTGCAGTCTTGCATAAATAGACGGGGTAAAAGAAGACAAACAACCGCAGTGCTGCAAAATTGTGGCAGTTGTAATGAAAACGGTACACGTCCGCTACGGGCCGGCATCAAGTGCCAGCCACGGCAGGCGCATCTCGGAGGTGCTATTGGCGTCAGGTCCTGGGTGAAAGCGCGTCCTCCGCGCCACCAACATGTTAGGAATGTGGGCTAGGAACGCGCACTCCTCGCCCACCCGGGAGCACAGCTGGCGGGTGCCGCAGGCCGACTCCAGCTTGCCGCTGGCGGAGCCGTCGACAACGGTGGTAGTGCCGGTGCAGATGCTGGTGTAGTGCACAAACACGGTGGCAACCGAAGCGGGGTGCGCCATCACTTTAGGAAGGACAAGCGGCGGGCCTGCATAGCGGTACTTGGGCAGCGGGTTGGGGCCCGTCACATTCCTCCACCAGCTCGGCTCGTCGGGGGCGGGCTCGCTGTCCGCCTGCTGCCTGATGGGGAACACATCTCGGCGGAACAGCAGCATGCACTCTTGGCGCATGCCCGGGGCGGCCATGCAGCCGCCGGGGGCCAGCATGGACGGCAGCGTGTCCCCTGGCACCGCCGGCACGATCAGCTCATCCACGTCCGCCACCAGCACCCGCACGTTGCGCCCCCAGAAGGACAGCAGCGCATGGTTCTCCACAATCTGTGGGCAGGCGGGCAGGCAGGCAGGCAGGTGGCGTGTCAGCCAGGAGTGCACGGCAAGCAGGCAGGCAGCCCAAAAGCGTGGGCTGGAGGCATGTGCGGCGCGTGCAACTAGGACTCACAGGCTCATCAAAATATCTCCAGCCCTGCAGCAGCCAAACTGGCCAGCACTCAAGCCAGAACAAGCCACAAAAACGGGCATCTTTCTTAAGACCACCACCACCAGCATCAAGCGACAGCACTCTTGTGCACGTACCTTGAAGGGTGCAAAATCGTCCCACAGCACAAGGGTCAGCCGCCCAGCAGCCACCAGCTCTCGAATGCGGGGCTGCGCTGCCAGCTCCACCTCATCCTTGGGCAGCACATACATGACGGTGCCGGCCAGCCCCAGCGGGCGGTGGTAGTCATCTTGCCAAGCCAGGATGCGGGCTGCCACGCTGGCGCGCACGTTGAAGAGGCAGGGCAGGGCGCGGTAGACTGCTGGGGGCTGCGCGCCCGCAACGGCGCCGGTGCCAGCTTCCGCCGGCGGGCCGGCCAGCGCCGCTTGCAGCTGGCGCTTGATCGAGACGCGGCGGGGCCAGCCTTGCACCATCAGAAAGAAGTCGACGGCGGCAGCGGGTCCCAGGTCAATGCTGAACTCAGACAGGTGATAGTACAGGTTGGTCTTCCGGGCCTCCCGCTCCAGGCAGGCTTGCATGTCGAAGCCCGGGCCGCCCTCCACCCGCTCGCACTCGCCATTGGTGTGCACCACCTGAACCTCGCGCTGCCAGCCCTGGGACGAGTGGAGGAGCAGGTGCAGCTTGGATGCCACCTCTGGAACGTTTTTGAAGATTGAGGACACATGGGGGCGCCACGTCGCCGGCTGCGCGTTAAACTCAAACGCCACAAAGCCCTTCATGCGCAGGTGGTGGCTGCCATCCTCCATCTGCGGTGTTGGTAGGAGGAATTAGCAGCGGCGTTGAGGTCTCTGGCCGCTGGTGCGTGCACGCATGCATTGACGCAAGGCGGAAAGACAAGGCAGCACCAGGGAAGCCAGGCGCACTGGACAGCAAGCTCACCGGCCATCTGAGAGCCTTCAGATAGATGTGCAGGGTGCCCGCCCGCTTGCCTGTGCCGCTAGCAGGCGGCACCTTGTCGAACTCGCCAGGGATGGAGTAGCGGTGCACGCCGCCATGAGCTGTGGGTTGGACGATAGGAGGACCGTCAGGCGAGTGCCGGACTGCCGCACCCCCATTTGTGCTGCTGCTGCCGCAGAAGTCCCACAGCGGCGCCCAAACGAACAGCGCGGTTGATATGGCCAGCGGGAGCAGCACCAGAGGCCTGCGGGAAGGATGAAGTGGGGCACCATACAACTTGTGTGCCCTTCCTCGCTGCCTGGCAGGCTCGTGGCGTCAAGCATGAGCTGGCCCGGCAAGGCTTGAGCAACCGGCAGGCAGTACGGGTGGCCGCCAAAGGCAGGCCCAGCTCCAAGCTGACCTGCCAATGCCGGCACGCTGGGCTGCCGCCCTGCTCCTGTCGGTTGTCTGGAATCGCATCTGCGCCGGGCCTTGGGGTCGCCCCTCCACGACAGAGGTCCCCGCTCAAGCCGCAGCGTAGGCGGCAGGCTGCCGCTAGAGGCGGCCGTCCCGCTGCAGCCGCGAACACGCGCTGCTGCATGCAGCGTTCATCCCTTTGGCCTGACAGCAGCGAATGCCGCTGCTACAGGCGCCTAAACAGGCTCCCAAAAACTTGCGAGGTGAGCGGTGTGAGGGCGGCGGGGGAGCGGGGCGGCTGCGCCAACGAGTGTAATCGCTACGCACAAAGCTGCACGACAGGCGATCGGCCAGGCCACTACTAAAGCATGGCGGCGCCAACTCAGCGCCACCGGGGCGAAATGCAGCCTGTTACATCCTGCCATCTTTCGGTGAGTATAGCACCTGAACGCAATGATTTTTTCAAAACATGGCGCCCAACAGTTACCGGCGGGGCATTGGAGGCGAGTGGTGCGTGCTGCCAGCAGATGGTGCCGCACCAGGAGGCGACGTGTGCTGTTGCATGCATCTGCCGGCAATGCCGCTGGGCCGGCGCTCCCAGTCCGTAGCTGGCATCACTATATGTGCGGTGGGGATGCACATCACCAGGTCGCAGATCCCAAATCTGGGTGCGCCTCCGCTCAACGGGCAGGCAGCACCTGTTCAGCAGGTCGGGTCACCGGCGGGCACCGGCCGGGCGCACCACCAGCTGCTGCCACAGTAAGTGGGGCTACAGATGTGCGCTCCTCGCTAATCATGCTTAAGGTTGCGCGGAACGTTGCGGGCGAGCTCAGGTCGGCCCTGGCTGCCGTGGCGGCAGCGCCGGCAACGTCGGTTGGCCGGCAGTTGGCACAGTGCGGCGCAATAGCCCCTTACCCATTTCGCTCTTCCAGTCCATCAGTGATCTGTCGGTTTCCCTTTTACTCGGAATGGCGGGCTGACCCACGAGTTGCTTTCCAAGCGCAAAAGGTGGGCGAGGACGCAAATTGCGCAGTCCGCCGAATCTCCACCTCGCCTTGTTTGCGTCTACTACTCCCCTTGTACCGATCAGCCCAGCTGTGGTCGCGAGGCGCTGTCCCTGGGTGGCATTCACATCGACATGTCGCGCCCCACTTTCACGCTGCTCGGCCTGGCGCTGGCCCTGGCTGTAGCGGGGACCGGTGAGCGTGACTCAATAGCCCAATTGCTTGCCAGCACATGCTATCCGCCGGGCTTGGCCGCCCTCCCCGTCGCCGCCGCCGTGTCGCTTGCGGTCAGCCCAATCAGCAAGGCGCCTGGCTCCTCCTGTACATGCCCACGCAAAACCTCTTGACTTCTTATCTCTCGCCCTACCTTGCATGCAGGCACCAGTGCAGTAGCCTTGGTGAGTGCTAGCTGCGTGCATGCAGCATGCCGTTGTGGTGTGGTTGCTCCCACACGCTTCACCGGCACGGAGGCTGGGGGCCGCTCTGCCTCGGCACCAGCCCCAGCAGCAGCAGCAGAAAGCGCCACAGCAGATCACGGCCGCAAGCCTACACGTATCATACCACACCTGCCAGCTTAGTGGCGCCTCGCATCAGAGGCCTGGCATGCGCACGCTCGTCCACGACCCTGGCGCCCGCCCGCCTCCCACCAGCCCTAACGCCTGTCGCCACCGCGCCCCTGCAGGCACCCTCCCCCGCGCCCTTTGGCTGCGGCAGCTACGGCGGAGACCTGGGCGGAGGCTACTACGGCGCGGCGGCTACGGTTCAGGCTGCAACCTCTCGCCGCCGCCCCCCAGCCCCGCCTCGCCGCCCCAGGTCTCCGCCGTAGCTGCCGCAGCCAAAGGGCGCGGGGGAGGGTGCCTGCAGGGGCGCGGTGGCGACAGGCGTTAGGGCTGGTGGGAGGCGGGCGGGCGCCAGGGTCGTGGACGAGCGTGCGCATGCCAGGCCTCCGA